TATATATATATATATATATATTTTTTTTTTTTCCTTTTTGTCTTTTTTCGTGACTGGCAACGGATCGCAACCCTCGGTGTTGCGCCCGCACCTCGCTCAGCCAGTGAGCGGCTGGTCTGTATGTGGGATCCGAACCCTCGGCGGGAGCGCCACCGCACTCCCAAGCGGCGCACTGTAGCAGTGCGCCACCGGGCCGGCCCATTAAATAATATTTTAACTATGATTATATTATAATGCATAATTTAATCATTATCTTCCACTTCATTTTGTTTACCCTACTAATGTCCTGGACTTGACTATTGCTACACATAAGTTAAGTGAATATTTCAAACTTGAAAAAAAATTACTTTGTACAATTCATATTTCTTTATTCCATTCTAAAGAGTAGGCTACTCATACTACACAAAATAAAATTAAAATGAATCAAATAAAAACAGCAACAAAAGAACTTGTCCACTAGGTAGAAGGGTAGGGGCAGAGCAATAATTGTGTGGACCTACATACAGATCTTCAAGAGACACAGACTTGAGGGTATGATGGGGAACATATAATTACCCAGGACATGACTGCTTACAAAAGTTATGATATAAAATGAGAAAATCAATCTCCATAAGAAAACAGACACCCATTTTTTCTTAAGTAATACATACTCATGCATTGTATTAGTACTTGTTTTCACATCTGCAATCACTTACCTATATGGAGACTGAACTGATGTTGCTACAGTTGGCATGGCAGTTGCTGTAAGCATTTTTGTTGCTCTGGTCACAGCATGTGTGAGAGTGGGGCCACCAAGTGCTGAACTGGCTGCCTATAAAATATGAAATAATCATTCTGTATCAGGGTTTCTCAATCCGGACTCTAATGACATTTTGGGCTGGATAATTTTTTGTTGTAAAGGTCTCTCCTGGGCATCATAGGATGTTTAGCAGGATCCCTGGCCTCTACTCACTGGGTACCAGTAAAAAACCCTTCTAGTTGAGATAATCAAAAAATATCTTCAGACATTACCAAAAGACCCCTAGGAGGCAAAATAAGCCCCAGCTGAGAACTGTTGCCTTACGTATGTTAATATTTACACAGTACCTCATATAAGAGTACTCTTGAATGTTTTTTATGATGACATATTTAGATGAAAGTCACACTTCGGAAATGCTGTAAAGATTCTAGCACATACTTATCACCAGAAAGTTTAACTTATTGACATTCAGGGGCAGTAAGTAGCATCTTATGCTTTTGTAATACTCTTTATTAAATATAAAACTTAAGCACAAATTTCAAATTTTAAATGAATGCTTATTGTTTTAACCAGCATGCTGGAAATATGGTGTTGGAAATATGAGATAGTATTACTCAGCAGGCTTCTAATAGACAAAGACAACCAATACCATCTACTACTTGGTGTCCTGCTGTGGCCTTTAACTGCATTTATGGTATACACTAGGTGAAACATGGAGAATAGGAAAAAACACAAGTGCTTGTATAAAGTTCCTGTGCAGAAGAAGAATAAGGAGAGAAAGACTCTTAGAAATGTGGAATGTATAGTAGACCTGTTTTCTGAAGACAGTGCCTATAACCCAGGAGGGGGCAGAGGAGTAGAATGGGGAAGAAAAGTGGTGGGAGGGAGAAGAAAAGATTTCCTATAAAGTATACTTTTATATGGGGGGCATCATGGCAAATGTCCATGTCCCAATAGTGTACTGCTGACAAATTCTTCTATAGGATTGAGCCACAAACATCAACAATATACATTACCTAAAAATATAACATTATAAAAGGAAAAAAAACCCAAAACAAAACCAAAGCATTTATTTCAAAGAAGGGTTAGATAAAATGTGCTACTCACTTCTAATCTTGTATAGCAATCAGCAATGAATTTCTTATGTAAAGATACTGAATCCTGAAAGTAAGAGGTGTATGGAAATTAAAATTAGTCTTTGGCATTTAGCTGTAAGCATTATTCATGAAAAAAACATCAAAATAAAAAAGTCAATTTGACTGAATCCTGAAAGTAAGAGGTGTATGGAAATTAAAATTAGTCTTTGGCATTTAGCTGTAAACATTATTCATGAAAAAAACATCAAAATAAAAAAGTCAATTTTGGGGCATGCGAATGATCACAACTTATCAACAAAAAATATATAATTTTATGCTTTTCTGTGTATGAGTAACTTCTTTCCTTAGATACCTACCTTCTTTAACCTAGGATTTAGATTAATATAACTATAGTTTATGATTAACTGAATAGCTTCATTAGCAATTTCTTCATCAGGTGATTCCATGGCTATTTTCCAAATGAAATCCATTCCTATTAATTCCAGCTTTTCTACATACTGTTCAAAAGAAAAAAAATAAATTATACAGGATACCAGAACCACAACATTATAATTATTTTCTGTTATATCATGAGACCATATCTCTTCAGTTCGATATGAATTAAGGCTGTAAAACCCAGCTATATACAAAAACACTATTGTACTGATATGGTACTTTAAAACAAAACAGAACCAACCGCAGAAGCGTTGGGCAACCTCCACAGAAACCAGTGTAGGTATGGAGATTTTCCTCCAGACATTCCTAAACCCAATCTGGACATCTACCCAGACAGGCTATTGAAGCAGAAACAACACAGGAATGTGACGGGCACCATCTTCATGAGTTTTTTTCCAAAAGGAAATGGAGTTAAGCTAGAAGTGGTTACTAATTCTTGGGGCTCAAACTGGTTGTCCCAAAGCTCAGTCAGAAATGGGAGGACTCAGGACTTACAAGAGCCTGTAAAAATTCTTACCACCCTAAGAAGTCAGGTCTTGAATTAAAGGTTCCTGAAAAGGAGCTAGTTTTTGCCTTTCTTTTTTAAGGGACATGTATAAACATAAGCTGTATACATGCTATCGATCCTCATTTTCCTGCTTCATTGTCTGTCCCTAAATTTTTCTCCCCAAATCCTTGCCATTGTGATCCCAGGATTGAAGGCTCTTACTTTTTTAAGTACATGTGAACTGCTGGGTATGAGGAGCTGGAAGGGGAGATGAACTTTTCCTACTCCACATTCACCTAGCCACAGGAGGCCACTGGCTGCCTCTAGATCAGCGAGAAGCACAGAGAGTGCCTTGAGGAGTGAGTTGTGTTCTCCCAGGCAGCTGGTGAGGCATGGTAGTGCTGGAAAGAGAGCCTCTATTGCACTCTAAGAGAAGCTCTGTCATCAATGCAGAAGCTGGCAGGCAAAGACACCCTGTCCTTTAAAAAGAATCCATGTTTTCTTTCAATATTTTTTTGAATATCAAGTTGAACTAGATTATTCAAATTATCTAGATTTTGAGAATAATGTACTTACTAACTGAGCTCCTTGTCTTTTCAATCGATGATCGCAGAGATTCACATTTTCAAAAAAAGTCTTAAATAAGTTAAAACCTGAAATTATAGAATGTCAGATAAATTCATGGGCTCTAAGTTAAACAGATAATGAATAGACTCAAAGTGGATTCAGAACTAAAACCATATAATTTTTGGATATGCTACCAAAAGCACAAGTAGCAAAAGAAAAAAATAAATAAATTGGACAATCAAAATTAAAATCTTTTTTTTAATTAAAAACTTTAAAGGATACTATCAAGAAAGTGAAAAGACAACCCAAAGAATGAGAGAAAATACTTGCAAATCATGTATCTGATAAGGAGCTAGTCTTCAGAATATATTATGAACTCTTACAACTCAACAATAAAAATACAACCCAATTAAAAAATGAGTAAAAGATTTGAATAGACATTTCTACAAACAATGTATACAAATGGCCAATGAGCACATATAAATAGATGCTCAATATCATTAGTCATCAGGAAAACGCAAACCAAAACCACAAGATACGACTTCATATACATTAGGATGTCTAAAATTGAAAAAAGGCAGACAATAACAGGTATTGGTGAGAATGTGAAAAAACTGGAACACTCATATATTGCTGATGGGATTATAAAATGGTGCAGCCACTTTGCAAAACAGTTTGGCAGCTCCTAAAAGGTTAATTATACATCACAGCAATGTGACTCCTAGATACATACCCAAGAGAAATGAAAACCTGTATCCACACAAAAATTTCTCCATGAAAGTTTATCAGCACTATTGATAGCAGTCAAAAAGTGCTAACAACCTAAATGTCCACCAGCTGATGAATGGATAAACAAAATATTACCATATTTTATACAGTGGAATATTATATAGCCATAAAATGGAATTAAGTACTGATAAATGCTACAGGCTGGGTGAACCTTAAAAACATTATGCCTTAGCATAATGAAAGAAGCCAGATATGAAGTGGCACATTTTGTGTGACTCCATTTATATCAAAATGTCCAGATTAGACTAATCCATAAAGACAGAAAATAGATTAGAGGCTGAGGGAAGGAGGAATAGAAAGGGACTGCTAAGGGTATAGGATTCTTGTTGAGGTGATGAAAATGTTCTGGGGTTAGAAAGTAGTGAAGGTTGTACAACTTTGTGAATATAATAAAAGCCACCGATTGCACACTTTAAAAAGTGAATTTTATGGTATGTAAATTATATCTTAATAAAAGAAAATTCAATTAAAAGAAAATACCTGAAAAGAGGATTTCTACACTTTGATGAATTTTTACCTTAATGAATCTTTTTGCACTAAGGAATTTCAAAAAGACAATTTGGCAATTTGAATTACCAGTCATATAATTTAAAAATTAATCATAGGGCCAGCCCGGTGGCACACTGCTACAGTGCGCCACTTGGGAGCGCGGTGGCGCTCCCGCCGAGGGTTCGGCGCCCAC